CTGAATGTGGTTTAGTTTTGAAATTATGACCTAATTTCTACTTTGTGAACAGGGCTAGACAATAACTTAGAAAGAGACTGTTTCATTATCACTTGAAACTCTTAAGAACATGCTAAGGCCTTGACATTCTTTTTTTTTTCCCTCTCTTCTGTCCCCTGCTTTATCCTTATATCTCTGTAGATCAAAAGATAACTCTCAAGAAGGAGGAGGACATTTTATGAGTTACCTTGACACTGAAGGCATCCTTGAGATCAGCTCCTCAAGTATGGAACCCAAGCAAGTAAAGCCAGGTAATCAAAGAACATGTCAAGATTCTTTTCAATATTATTCCTCCAAACAGATATGTCTTTTCCTTCAATAGTTCAAAGACCTGCGCTATGGAGAGGAGTGAGGTCTTCCATATTTCCTCCTAGCCTTTCTGTTCACAAAAATAGTTTTATGTTTCTTAAGAAGCTTCTTAATTCCTCCCAATAACCCAACAAGTTAAAGCAGGTAGCAGTCACTTTTTATTAAAGAGGAAATTGAGGCTCATATGACTTAGGTGATATTTCCAAGAGTCACAAAATGAATTTGTATTTAATGAGAACTCAGAATTCTCAAATGCATAATAAAGAAGCTTGCTAAAAAAATCTTGCTATATCTTGCTGCTAACACCAAGATATTTGTCATTGTTGTCACTGTTTACATTCGTTTTTATGTTATTTCGAGATTCATTGTCATCTGGGTCTTTAACTTCGTTTGCTATGTTTTTCTCCTTTTCCTACTCATCATTCCTCAACATGACAATTTTTAAGTTTATATTTGCGTAATTTTTAAAAAACGAATTGTTTTTTGTTTTTCAAGCATCCATGTTAGTTCTTAGAATCATTATTTCAATAGTGAGGCAAGGTAGAAATTAGTTACTATAATTTTAAGCTGAACCCATAACTAGTTTCCACATGCGGCAAACAGTCTGAGTTGCCCTCAATAGTTATTTGCCTTGAGCTATTTTGTTATCATTAAATATTATCCTGCAGTTAGATAGGGATCTGAAGATTGTACAGTTGCTTAGTTACTTGCTTTTTTCATTGCTTCCCATTTAAGCCAATGACTAAATGAACAATTAGGACTTGGGTCGTGTGAGAGATGTGTTTTATTTGGCATGGACCCTAATGATCAGATAATGAACAGCTTCATTCCTATCAAGAGGATATTCTAAAGGATGGTTTCATTTCTTAATGCTGACCCTCACTCTAAGAGGCAGGCTGCTCTAATCATGATAGTTAATGACCAATAAGTGGCCATTTGTCACATTTTCACTCTTGATTCCAGGCCTCAGCCAACCTCAGCGTAAAGGATTCAAACTATGATGAAATGTTTTAACAGGTAATGATGAGAGAAACGATGAGAATTTTTAGGGCAGAGTTCATATTCCATATGTTCTCTGTAGTAATTATGTTGAAAAATAGTAGTTTGGTTCCGAGGCACTACACAATTTGATTTGCTGGACATTTATTGACTATCCTTTATGTAACTCATAGGAATAGAAAGAGAAATGAATATCATGGCAAATCTCTGCCTCTAATAAACTTACTCTCTGGTAGGAAGTTTAATTCTGATCAAAATTTAAATGGAATGAGTTAGGACAAACTTAGTTACTAGACTTGTGAGCAAAAAATATTATAAATTCAGAGGAAATATCAAAAGTCTCTAAAAGTTATAAAGACTTAATCATTTCTTATGTTTCCTTGGCTTTGAATACTTGACTTTTATGATAAACAACTCAACATTTGAAAAGTTCATGGTTAAATTGTGGAAGTTCATTAGATACATGATTGAATCTGATTTGTTATGTTTAAATTTCCATAATCCATTTACAAGGTTATCTATTTAAAATCTCTAAATTAGCAGTTTTCTCTGCTCCTATTACTTAGGTCATTGCACCTTAAATAAACTAAATCTTTAAGTGTTCTCTGTAAATAAAGCAAACAAAATTTAAATATCTGCAATAGGAAGGTCAAAACAAGAAAAGTAATCATCAGGAGTCTGAATAGAAGCTTTCATTAGTTTTGTTTCATCTTTTTGCTCTCATCACCATGTGTAATTACAACCAAATTCATAAAAATTTATAAAATATTTCCCTTTAAATATTTTAATTCTAAACGGAAATTACAGCTATAACATTTAGGTCATTTGGGATTCCTTTGGCAAATAGTATCAATAATGAAGGCACTAAAATGGGTGATTTTTACTTTAAACTTTAGCTGGATGATATGTCATACGATAGGATGTATAATATATGGCATATCACATCCAAATTAAAAATGACATTAAATTTTATTTTAAAATACTACAGTTTTTTAAAAATATTTTTTTACTTTTCAGTTATAGTTGACATACAAAATTATATTAGTTTCAGGTGTATAGCGTGGCGATTAGACATTTATATAACTTACAAAGTGATCACCCCAATAAATCTATTGCCTGTTTGACACCATGCATAGTTATTACAATATTATTGACTATATTCCGTATGCTATACTTTTTGTAACTATTTTGTAACTACCCATTTGTACTCCTTAATCCCTTTCCCTTTTTCACCCATCTCCCCAGTCCTCCTCCCATCTGACAGCCATCAAAGTGTTCTCTGTATCTACGAGTTTGTTTCTGTTTTGTTTGTTCATTTATTTTGTTCTTTGGATTCCACATATAAGTGAAATCACGAGATTTGTCTTTTTCTGTCTCACTTACTCCACTCAGCACAATACCCTGTAGGTCCATCCATGTTATCTCAGGTGGCAAGATTTTATTTTATTTTTTTTCTTTTTATGGCTGGGTAATACTCCAGCGTATGTATGTACCACCTCTTCTTTATTTATTCACCCATTGATGGACAGCGAGGTTGCCTCCATATCTTAGCTATTGTAAATAATGCTGCATTGAATATATGAATGCACATGTTCCTTTAGAGTAGTGCTTTGGGTTTCTTTGAATAATACCCAGAAATGGGATATCTGGGTCCTTCTTTATCTCTTGTTGTAGCTCTTGTTTTAAAGTCCATTTTATCTGGTATAGTATTGCTACCCTAGCTTTTTTCTTTCTTTCTTTGTTTCCCTTTTAATAAAATCTTTTCCTATCCCTTTACTTTCATTCACTGTGTGGTTTTTGATCTGAAGTGAGTCTCACTTACTGTAGGCAGCATAAGTTTTTCATCCATTCAGCCACCCTGTGTCTTCTGATTGGAACACTTAATCCGTCTACATTTAAAGTAAGTATTGATATGTAGTAATTGCCATTTTATTATTCATATATTTGATCTTTTTTTCTTCTTTTTCTTAAAGAAGTCCCTTTAACATTTCTTGCAGTACTGTTTTGGTGGTGATGAACTTCTTTAGCTTTTTTTAGGTCTAGGAAGCTCTTTATTTGTCCTTCTAGACTAAATGATAGCTTTGCTGGATAGAGTAATCTTGGTGGTAGGTCCTTACTTTTTATCACTTTGACTATTTTGTGCCAATCCCTTCTTGTCTGCAAAATTTCTGCTGGGAAATCAGCTGACAATCTTATGGGAGCTCCCATATAGGTAACTAATAGCTTCTCTCTTGCTGCTTTTAAGATTCTCTCTTTGACTTTAACTTTTGGCATTTTAATTACGATGTGTCTTGTTGTAGGCCTCTTTGGGTCACTTGTTTGGGTTTCTTTGAGCTTCTTGGGCTTCTATGTCTATTTCCTTCACCAGGTTAGGGAAGTTTTCTGACATTATTTCTTGAAATAGGTTTTCGATTTCTTGCTTTCTCTTTTTTCTCTGGTACCCTTATGATGCAAATGATGGTACACTTGAAATTGTCCCAGAGATCCCTTAAACTGTCCTTATTTTTTTTAATTCTTTTTTCTTGCTGCAGTTCTGATTGGGTGTTTTCTGCTATCTTATCTTCTAAATCTCTGCTTCGATCCTCTGCTTCATGTAATTCTTCATTTCTGATTAGTTCTTTTTTATGTTTTCTATCTCTATTTTAATATTTTTATCTCTTCGTTGAAGTTCTCACTGAGATCATCAAGCCTCATTATAAGCAGTGCTTTGAATTCTTTATCTGGTAAATAGCTTGTCTCCATTTTGTTTGGTTCTTTTTCTGGAGCTTTGTTCTGTTCTTTCACTTGGGATGTGTTTCTTTGTCTCCTCATTTTGGCTGCCTCCCTGTATTTGTCTCTGTATATTAGGTAGAGCCGCTATGTCTCCCAGTCTTAGTAGAGGAGACTTATTTAGTAGATGTCCTGTGGGGCCCAGTGGGGCAGTCTCCATGGTCACCTGAGCAAGTTACTCCAGGTGTATTCCTGTGTGGGTTATGTGTACCCTCTTGTTGTAGTTGAAACTTGGTAGTTGTTTGCACATCACGGGAGGGATTGACCCTCAGGTGACTGGTTGTGAGGACTGGCCATGACCACTGGAGGAGCTGTTGTGTATGGGCTAACCCTACGAAGAAGGATTCACTTTAGCAATACTCCAGCACCTGCCCAGTCTGGCCTTTGAGTGTGTTGTTTTTGGAGGCAGTTGGATGGTGCTCTGGTGTGGTCTGAAGCTGCCACTAGTGTGTTGGTTATGGAGCCTCTTGGGAGGGGCTTTGTTCCAGGCCAAGGTTAGTCACTGCCTGTGCCCTTCCCGGGGCCATTTGGTATGTGTTACAAGGTGATCTGCAGATGATTGTCACTTATACTGGGCTTGTAGTTGCCTGGGATAAGCTGTGAACTGAGACTGGCTGCTGCTAGTTCTAGAGTTGGGGCTGCTTACCAAAGGGTATAGGGCATGCCGAGGTCCAATTCTGTTTGGAGTTTGTGAATCTTCGAGAGATTTTAAGAAACTCTGCAGCATGCGACAAGACAGGCTGTTTGTTTGGAAAGCCACTGGAAGTGGCTGGGTAGGCCCGCAAGAAGTGTGGAACAGAATTTCAGAGAATCACCAGGGCGAGGAGAATGGTATTAGCCAGGTTGATAGAGACTCAGATATGGCTGCCACCTGTATCTGCATACTGGATGAGGGAAGGGGTGTGGGGAGGGCTTAACAATGGCTTCTGCCAGCAATTCTATCTGTGAGAAAGCTGCTCTTCCAGCCTTCCTAAAAAATATTTCAGTCCCTCCCTGTATGTCACTGGTGCCTTTGAGCTGCTGCTGCTGCAACACTGGAGCTCAGAGTGAGTGAGTCTGTCAGCAAGTAAGTTTGTGTATAGGCTATTTAAGAGGGGTGCCTGAGGCTCCAGCAGCTCTCTGTCTTACTCAGCCACAACTCTGTTGGTTTTTTACCACCA